AAAAGTTTTAATAATACCGGCATCACACGGTTGGATAACTGATGTAGTATTAGATAGTAAAAATTCTACTTTAATATTTCGTAATTTTGGACTTGAATATGCACAGCAATTATCAACTATAAGAATTGTTGGCTGGTTAACTTGACAATCTAACCATTTCAACCAATTTTACATTTTTTTCTGTTATCCATGCCTTTTCATTGTTAGAATAGTGTATAGGCAATTTTGACATATTGGTATACTTTATATATTGTGGGCATGCATTTTTACCAATTACAAATGGCTTAAATTTTTGTAATTCTGATGCATTATAGCAAAGAAGTATAGTAAGATGTGACTTGTCCTTTTTAAATCCCTTAGCAGCATCACTTTTAGATGCAAGCGTTTTATCTGGCCCAAGACGAAAAAAAAGTCCCGTCTCATCTGCATTAAGGATATTATCAGGATGATAATTTTTAAGTAATTCCTGAAAATGACGTGTCCACTTTCAATTGCAACTTGATCAGCCGATGCACTTTCTCCAGATATAGTTTTTGAACTAATATCAAATCGTTGCTGAAATCCATATACCTAGCCATTAGATGCCTCAAATGTAGTCAGAAATTCTACGCCACCATTTTTTAACTGTTCATATATTGAAAGTGCTTTTGTTTTAAGCATATCTTGTGAAACAGGAATATTTTGAGAACGAAGTTCTAAAAACAACTTATATACTGCCTCATCGATAATATGAAACTGTCCCTTTTGTAAGCGAACACGTTGTTGTATATGAGAAGGTGTAGTATCATATAACTGAAGATATTTGTCCTTATCTCGCAAAATATTGCTTATCGTGGATCTATCAACTTGGTATTGTTTTGCCAAATCTTGATAGCTTAGTTTCATATTTTCATCTTTTTTTCTAATAATCTCAACCTTCTTCTCTAAAGTAAGAGTGGACCTTTCTTTTCGTTTTTTACTAAACTCTGCAACAGACATCTTGTAATAAACTAAACATGCTAATGGATAGGTATAAATCTCTTTTTTTTTTTTTTTTAAATGTAAGATTCACTGTAATAAGATCTTTTACATTATTGTTATTTAATTATGAATTATATTAATTTTCACTCAATAATTAATATGAATTAGGAATATTAATTTAAGAGCAAGACAGGATATTTTTTAAATAGAAAATAATTGATTCCTAGATAAGATTTAGACATTTACTCAAATTTGATAGATTGATTGTTTATTGTAAGTTTATTCTAATTTTAATATGAGCCTTTAAGTGATATACTTGCAACCTTCAAAATTCATCATTTCACATGTTGCTATTATTGTCTTATCTAAATTTGTATAATGATTTTTTTTTTTTATCATACAGACGCTAGACATACGTACTAACAATTTTATTAAAACTTGTTAAAAAAACAAGTATTATATTGTTTTGAGTTTGTGACCAAAAGGTCTCTAGCATATGAAAATCAGGATATTAATATTTTGTAAAGATAGTTTTATTGATTAGCAAATGAACCCTTCTCACTTAAATTTGCAAGCATTTTTGGTTCTTCGACGTACTCACACAGTATCGGTAGGCTTCTTATTCGGGATCATTATTTGCAGTTACACTTTTCACTAATGAAATTTTCTCCTATACTTTCATAATGCACCTTCAATTATGGTCACACTACTTAACTACGACAAGATTATATTTCACATTTTTTGTAGAAAAAGGGGACTTACTAATCCCACTATTCTATTTTATGCATCGTTAATTTAAACTACAAACTATTAATTACACATATTTAATGCATCAACACTAAATCAGGTAATATGAATATGCACAAACTACAATAGATTCTACACAATAGCGCGCAATTCAACCAATTACATTGAATCATATGATCACATTATCTCAAGATGCGAGAAGACTTGATTAGCAATTATTTCAACATACTGTTTAATTATTTATTTATAATATGCTGGCCCTACTAGATCTTTTTAGCACTACTGAAGATAAGTTATTAAAATTGTTTTAGTCTTTATATATCATTACATCATTGCTTTTATTTAACGTTGCTAACTATTTTTCTATATTCTTTTTTTAGTTTTTTTTTTCTATACAGTAATCTCATTTAGATTGTTCTGTTTGAGCGCTTGACCTTATTGGTCTCTAGCATATGAAAATCAGGATATTAATATTTTGTAAAGATAGTTTTATTGATTAGCAAATGAACCCTTCTCACTTAAATTTGCAAGCATTTTTGGTTCTTCGACGTACTCACACAGTATCGGTAGGCTTCTTATTCGGGATCATTATTTGCAGTTACACTTTTCACTAATGAAATTTTCTCCTATACTTTCATAATGCACCTTCAATTATGGTCACACTACTTAACTACGACAAGATTATATTTCACATTTTTTGTAGAAAAAGGGGACTTACTAATCCCACTATTCTATTTTATGCATCGTTAATTTAAACTACAAACTATTAATTACACATATTTAATGCATCAACACTAAATCAGGTAATATGAATATGCACAAACTACAATAGATTCTACACAATAGCGCGCAATTCAACCAATTACATTGAATCATATGATCACATTATCTCAAGATGCGAGAAGACTTGATTAGCAATTATTTCAACATACTGTTTAATTATTTATTTATAATATGCTGGCCCTACTAGATCTTTTTAGCACTACTGAAGATAAGTTATTAAAATTGTTTTAGTCTTTATATATCATTACATCATTGCTTTTATTTAACGTTGCTAACTATTTTTCTATATTCTTTTTTTAGTTTTTTTTTTCTATACAGTAATCTCATTTAGATTGTTCTGTTTGAGCGCTTGACCTTATTGGTCTCATTATTTTTGATTTTACTGCTTTACTTTACTAGTATATATTTATTATTATTTTATAAATCAGGTTCCCAACCTCCTATTATCAAAACTTTTCCACTTATCATTACTCTTTCTCTATTTGGATGGGTTACATCTGACTGTATTATTACACTTCGGTTACAGTTTTCAGACTGGTCGATTTTTATAATGATAATAATTCATAGGTTTTGATAATTACAAAAATGTAATGAATTTGTTATAATAAATTGTTTTATAAAAATTTGTTGCCTCTGAGATATGAGGGCTAGTCTATGAAAATATCAGTCTGAGAATCTGAGGATTCTCGATTGATCATCAAAGTGATTATTTTTTATTTATTCTAATAATCAAAGAATTCTCAAATTTCACGACTAACACTTTCTTAGGCCAGTTCTCATGTGTTAGAAATTGTTATATAACTGATTATGTTTTCATACAGTGTGTATATTATAAATAGCCTTTAGACAAACTTGTGATTAAAAGTTGATTTTAGAAAATTTATTGATTTGCTTATGTATCGTGAGAAGGTGCTGTTGGCGTGTACATTTGTGTTTAAAACCATACAGAATATCGAATAAAATAAGCTATGCAACTAAGAAATTTACAAATGGCATATCACAATTGCAAGAATCGCATAATCTAATATACATAAAAAGGTCTAGCAAAATTAAGCTGATAATTCTTTATTAGCTCAGTTTGACTAATAAATGTTGACGA